CAATGCAAAGGTGGTTAGCCAGGGCACCGGATCCTGCAGGATCCTGCGAAGACCCCCTCTGGCTGACCCAGTTAGCGAGCCGCTCGTGGCCGCGAGGCGGCCGCGCATATTGGTTGACCCAGGTTTGCGAAGACCTGCGTAGCTTTTTTTCTTTCCTGCATGCAGTTTTGGGTGTCCTGCTGACCCGGGTCTGGATTGACCCGGGTCAGAAGATCACCGACCACGGTGGGGCCGATGCATGAGGTTGCTCACAGAACGTTTCTGGAGGGAGTACGAAACAGTGTCGGCCCAGGCCGCTCCGCCGCTCGGAAGGAGAACGCCCGCGCTCCCCGCTGCCCGCGCACCAGGCAGCCCACGATGCCGCTCGGTAAGATCGCGCGCGGGCGCGGCGCCCGAGCCGCAGCCCAGACTGCACTCCGGGCGCGGTGAAGGGAGGGTGCACGGCTGCTCGACTTCCCTCCCCATTTCCCAACCATCCTGTGGTGTTGGGTCTTCGTTGTGAATCAGCGGCGCCGCGCGTCTCATTCCTTTCTCCCCCTCCTCCTCGTCAGCAGCAGAAGCAGCAGCAGCAGCAGCACCTTCATTAGCGTTACCACCACCATCACAACCATCACCATCACCATCACTACCATCACCACCATCACCACCACCATCACCACCACCATCATCATAACCATCACCATCATCATCATCATCATCATCATCATCATCATCATCATCATCATCATCACCATCATCATTGCTCGCATCACATGGCTTTCATCTCCCAAAGCTCACACCACATGGCTTACACTACATATGTTACATCGCATAGTTGGCACCTTCACAGTGCAACAACTCACTGCTTGGGGCCCATGCTGGTTAACATTGTATACATGTTGTGTATCGCGGGCTCGAATCAGTGATTTATCGCAGTGTAGATGTGTAAGTTCGGTTGTTCAAAATATGTATACATGTGTATAGATGTATGGTGTGGAAGCTGTGTGGTGTCAGCTATTTGGTGATAGCTGTATGCTATAAGCCCTGTCATGTGGTGCCATCCCCTAAAGGGTACTAGCTATGTGGTATAAGCTAGCCAGTGCAAGCTATGAGCGATCCCCTATGTGGCATAAGCTAGGTGGTGTAAGTCATGCGGTGGTCGTGGTTTTTACACATGAGTTGGCACATCCCATGCTCTTGCAAACTTCCCACCCACCCACCCGCAACTTGGTTTGCAACCCCCCATGCGGTGGCGATTGCGATGCGTGCTTGGCGTTGGCTGGTGCATCCCTACGGCCGCGCCAATCCTAGCACGCGCGCGCAGCGGCCATATAGGTTGGTGCCACCGACGCGGCCGCGGTGGCGCTGACCGCTGGGCGCATCTCAGCGGGCACTTCACGTCGAGTTGGCGACTTGGGCGGGCGCGGTATCTCGGCAACGCCGACTACGGTGGACGCGATGATGATGGTGGCGATGCTGGTGACGATGTTCGCACCGACGAAGGCGCGGCCAGTGCGGGCGCCGATGCTGATTACGCCGACGACGATGACGGCGTCCTCGCGTCGGTGATGAACGTTTTTGGAAAGAGTTCGACATGCGCGCGCGGCCGACGCGCGATAGTGGCCCGCATGGTTTTATCTGACGCGGATTGTGCCCCAACCCCAGCACGCGCGCAAGGGCGAGCGAATGACGTCGGCATGCGGCGCCAGAGGCCCGTTTGGCAGAATTCTATGAATATGTTGAAGCGACGATGGTTTTCTCAAGGGTTCGCAGGAGCGCGCGCGCAAGTTTTTTTCTTCAAGCGAACATGTTTTGTGCTTTCTTTTTTTTGCAACTGATGTTGCGAAACCTGGTGTTTTTGAAGGTTCTCGGGCATCCGGTTTTGAAATCGCTACGAGACCGAAGGTTTTTGAAGGATCTTGGCATGCGCGCGCGACGACGCGCGCGTGTGTGCACAGCGGGTATTTTTTCCAGACGGGTTTTTGACAAATGATGAATTTTGACAACCGAGTGTGCGCGCATAGTGTTTTTTTCCATAAAATGGCGGGGGGGGGGGTCGAAACTGGCTGGGCCGGGGATGTTATGAATTCGTATTGAAGATGGACGATGGAACAAAATCGTTTGTATATTGCAATACGGAAGGGTGGATCGATAAAGCGGGTGGTGGTGGTGGTGGATCCCATTTTTCCAGGAAGAAGAGTCCATGTGGTGCAAGCTGGTTTGTCGAACAAACAGAGTGCAACAATAACCTCGCCGGGTCTGAAATACTGGATGCTAGGTGCTAGGTATCGAGCGCAGCCGCGCGATTGTAAAGCAGCGCCTCTGTCTGCTCTACAGCATTTCCGCCCGACTTGGCTGCTCAGCGGCATGCCAGATTTTAGAGGGCCGGAGTAACAGTGAGCCAGCGTTTATGTCATGTAGCAACACAGCATGCAGGCGCGCTGCGCTCTATAGCAGCGGTTCGCAAACGTGCCTTCGTGACCAGCGGCGATGAGCGGCAAACCCAACGACTGCGAACGTTGACGATCGACACTGCGAGCGGCAACGTGGCGAAACCTCGGCATATCCAGGTGGGTGGTACCAAACACATAGCTTTTGGGTGCCAGGATGTAGACGGGGGGGTTGGAACGGAATCCGATCCGGGCGAGAAATTGTACAGTGGTGGGTCCCAGGAAGAAAGTTCCTGAGGGCCAGGATGTCGGCGCGGGGTTCTTGAACGGAGTCGGATCTTGTCGAGAAGAGGTGGGGGGTCCCGAGAATAGGATTCTAGGGGCCTGGATGTCGGTTGGGGGGCCTGAGAACGGTGTCGGATCCGGACGAGAAATTGCAGGGTGGGGGGTCCCAAGAACGGGGCACCCGGAGGCCAGGATGCTCTGGAACGGAGTCGGATGCGGGCGAGAAGTTGCAAGGTGGTGGGGGGGGTCGCAAAAACAGGGTGCCCGGGGGCCTGGATGTCGGCGGGGGGGTCTGGAACGGGGTCGGAGCCGAGCGAGACATTGCATTGTAGGGAGCTCCAAAACGAATTCCTGGGTGCCAGGATGTCAGTGGGGGGGTTTGGAACGGAATCGGATCTGAGTGAGAAATTGCAGTGTGAGGGGGTATCAAAAACAGAGCTCCCAGGTGCCAGGATGTCGGCGGGGGGGTCAGCCGGGCGAGAAATTAAAGGTTTGGGGGTCCCAAGAGCAGCGCTCGCGGGGGCCAGGGTGTCGGCGGGGGGGTGAGCAACGGGGTCGGAGCTGAGCGAGAAGTTGCAGTGTGGTGGGTCCCAAGAACAGGGTTCCCGGGGGCCAGGATGTCGGTGGGGGGGTTTGGAACGGAGTCGTAGCTGGGCAATAACTTGCAGGGTTGGGATGTGCCAAAGGCACAGTTCCAGGGAGCCGGGATGTCGGCGGGGAGGTCTGGCACGGGGTCGGATCCGAGCGAGAAATGCTTTCGGGGTCCCAGGAACAGCGTTCGCTGGGGCCAGGATGTCGGCGGGGGTCTGGAACGGAGTCGGATCCGGACGAGAAATTGCAGGGTGGGGGTCCCAAGAGCAGAGTTCAATGGAACCAATCTGTTGGCGGGCTTTTTGGAACGGAGCCGGATCTGGGCGAGAAATTGCAGGGTGGGGGGTCCCACAGAGTTCCACGAGGCCAGGATGTCGACAATGGGGTCTGGTCTGGAACGGAGTCGGATTTGGGCGAGAAGCTGTAATTAGGGGGCCCCAAGAATTAAGGAACATGATCCTGGGGGCCGTGATGTCGGCGGGGGTCTGGAACGGGGTCGGACAGGGGGGAGAAACTGCAGGGTCGGGGGTCCCACAAACAGAGATCTTGAGAGCCGGGGTGTCGGCGAGAGGGGGTCTGGAACGGGGTCGGATTTGGGCGAGGAGTTGCCAGGCAGGGGGTCCCCCCCAAGAAGGAGTTCTCGGCGTCCAGAGCAGCGCTCGCGGGGGGTCGAATGTCGGCGGGGGGGTCTGGAACGGGGCCGGGGCGAGAAATTGCAGGGTGGGGGGCTGCCAGTGAAGGCCTGTGCTTTGAGGTCTGGGCGATGACGGCCGTGATCGGCCCTCCCCCTCTCTCTCACGTCACGCGATTTTGCCTACAGTTACATGGATTCCTCGACGATCTCCTACGATTTCCAGCGGCCCGATGAGATCGGGGGGGCGAACTCCCGCCCCCCTCCCCCGATCACGCCCGTTATCGCGAACAATTTAACAGGGTTCCCGGGGGCCTGGATGTCGGCCGCGGGGTCTGGAACGGGTTCTTTCGCCAAAACCAATCCGGAACCAGCAGCCGGGAACCGGGGAACCCGGAACCAGGAACCCGAGAGCCCGGCCGCCCACCGAAGTCGTTTGGAAACGTTCGCCTCATCTTTCAACATTTGCTAGGACCCCTTCAGTGCACCCACTGCTTGGGGAATGTGGAGAAAGGGTTCAGGAGGTATCATAGTGGTGAGGAGGGTGGAGCAGGACCGAGGATCGAGGGGATCGAGGATCGAGGATAATCGAGGATGGGTGAGGATCTGGGATCGAAGACGATCGAGGAGGATCGCAGACGAGGAGGAGGAGGAGGAGGAAGCTGATGCTGATGATGCTGATGATGCTGATGATGCTGATGACGATGCTGATGATGCTGCAGATGACGATGCTGATGATGCTGATGATGATGCTGATGATGCTGATGATGATGATGCTGATGATGATGCTGATGATGATGCTGATGATGATGATGCTGATGATGCTGCTGCTGATGATGATGATGGTGGTG